AAAAGTAATAAATTTGTGGCTTAGCGCTTCTTTTTGATTATAATAATAATAATAGTCAGGTAATATCCGTTAACCGAGAGGTTTGGCCTTTTCAAGAAAGATTTGTAAAGAAATTAGAAAATTACAAATGTTCAGAAAGTATTTCTCATAACATAACATTAACAAAATCTGAGACTATTATCGTACAACTGGTTCATTTAAAAATGTAACAGATATAGTGCATATTTAAACATAAAATGAAATGACTTCACCATTTCTAGTGCTACATGTTTTATTGTTTCAAACATGTACAATGTAGGTTACTTTATGTAGCAAATCAGAGAGACTATACGTATTTCGCTAATGCAACAGTATACATGTATTTATTAACACTGAAGAAAGTTATCTTATAAGCCTTTCAATATGTTTGCAGAAGCAATATTACAGTGAAACTGTGACTATAAATAGTCTGCTCCCAAAACAACTATTCTCATAAAGCAAAAAAATTTAATTTTTCCAGATAGTAGCACAAATTTTATACATAATTCCCGAGCAATGCTTACCTACATAATATGTAGTTGTACAAAGTACCTACCTGCTTCAAATGATTGCACTGAGTAGTAAGTTTTAGCATCTGTGTTTGCACTGCTTCCTGAGCTTCTATCCACTCTTTCTGAATGACACCTAGTTGGTTATCAGCCTCAAGGAGTCGGGTTTCCCTCTTTTCATACATACTTTGCCGAATGTAGACTTCATCGCTCATTTTTTTCAGTAATGCCTTTGTTGTCATGACTTCTTCCTCAAGGTGCTGAAAGACAAATGACAAAGGAGTACCACAATATAAATTATGTAATTTTATGAAGATTGAATATACATGTCAAATATATCTGTTGCAATGTGCCTGTCTAGCTTCCAACCAGCATAAATACACATGTACCTCATTTATTTTATTTTATTTTATTATCACACTGGCCGATTCCCACCAAGGCAGGGTGGCCCGAAAAAGAAAAACTTTCACCATCATTCACTCCATCACTGTCTTGCCAGAAGGGTGCTTTACACTACAGTTTTTAAACTGCAACATTAACACCCCTCCTTCAGAGTGCAGGCACTGTACTTCCCATCTCCAGGACTCAAGTCCGGCCTGCCGGTTTCCCTGAATCCCTTCATAAATGTTACTTTGCTCACACTCCAACAGCACGTCAAGTATTAAAAACCATTTGTCTCCATTCACTCCTATCAAACACGCTCACGCATGCCTGCTGGAAGTCCAAGCCCCTCCACACACAAACCTCCTTTACCCCTCCCTCCAACCCTTCCTAGGCCGACCCCTACCCCACCTTCCTTCCACTACAGACTGATACACTCTTGAAGTCATTCTGTTTCGCTCCATTCTCTCTACATGTCCGAACCACCTCAACAACCCTTCCTCAGCCTCTGGACAACAGTTTTGGTAATCCCGCACCTCCTCCTAACTTCCAAACTACGAATTCTCTGCATTATATTCACACCACACATTGCCCTCAGACACGACATCTCCACTGCCTCCAGCCTTCTCCTCGCTGCAACATTCATCACCCACGCTTCACACCCATATAAGAGCGTTGGTAAAAACTATACTCTCATACATTCCCCTCTTTGCCTCCAAGGACAAAGTTCTTTGTCTCCACAGACTCCTAAGTGCACCACTCACTCTTTTTCCCTCATCAATTCTATGATTCACCTCATCTTTCATAGACCCATCCGCTGACACGTCCACTCCCAAATATCTGAATACGTTCACCTCCTCCATACTCTCTCCCTCCAATCTGATATTCAATCTTTCATCACCTAATCTTTTTGTTATCCTCATAACCTTACTCTTTCCTGTATTCACCTTTAATTTTCTTCTTTTGCACACCCTACCAAATTCATCCACCAATCTCTGCAACTTCTCTTCAGAATCTCCCAAGAGCACAGTGTCATCAGCAAAGAGCAGCTGTGACAACTCCCACTTTGTGTGTGGATTCTTTATCTTTTAACTCCACGCCTCTTGCCAAGACCCTCGCATTTACTTCTCTTACAACCCCATCTATAAATATATTAAACAACCACGGTGACATCACACATCCTTGTCTAAGGCATACTTTTACTGGGAAATAATTTCCCTCTTTCCTACATACTCTAACTTGAGCCTCACTATCCTCGTTAAAAACTCTTCACTGCTTTCAGTAACCTACCTCCTACACCATACACTTGCAACATCTGCCACATTGCCCCCCTATCCACCCTGTCATACGCCTTTTCCAAATCCATAAATGCCACAAAGACCTCTTTAGCCTTATCTAAATACTGTTCACTTATATGTTTCACTGTAAACACTGGTCCACACACCCCCTACCTTTCCTAAAGCCTCCTTGTTCATCTGCTATCCTATTCTCCGTCTTACTCTTAATTCTTTCAATTATAAACTCTACCATACACTTTACCAGGTACACTCACAGACTTATCCCCCTATAATTTTTGCACTCTCTTTTGTCCCCTTTGCCTTTATACAAAGGAACTATGCATGCTCTCTGCCAATCCCTAGGTACCTTACCCTCTTCCATACATTTATTAAATAATTGCACCAACCACTCCAAAACTATATCCCCACCTGCTTTTAACATTTCTATCTTTATCCCATCAATCCCGGCTGCCTTACCCCCTTTCATTTTACCTACTGCCTCACGAACTTCCCCCACACTCACAACTGGCTCTTCCTCACTCCTACAAGATGTTATTCCTCTTGCCCTATACACGAAATCACAGCTTCCCTATCTTCATCAACATTTAACAATTCCTCAAAATATTCCCTCCATCTTCCCAATACCTCTAACTCTCCATTTAATAACTCTCCTCTCCTATTTTTAACTGACAAATCCATTTGTTCTCTAGGCTTTCTTAACTTGTTAATCTCACTCCAAAACTTTTTCTTATTTCAACAAAATTTGTTGATAACATCTCACCCACTCTCTCATTTGCTCTCTTTTTACATTGCTTCACCACTCTCTTAACTTCTCTCTTTTTCTCCATATACTCTTCCCTCCTTGCATCACTTCTACTTTGTAAAAACTTCTCATATGCTAACTTTTTTCTCCCTTACTACTCTCTTTACATCATCATTCCACCAATCGCTCCTCTTCCCTCCTGCACCCACTTTCCTGTAACCACAAACTTCTGCTGAACACTCTAACACTACATTTTTTAAACCTACCCCATACCTCTTCGACCCCATTGCCTATGCTTCATTAGCCCATCTATCCTCCAATATCTGTTTATATCTTACCCTAACTGCCTCCTCTTTTAGTTTATAAACCTTCACCTCTCTCTTCCCTGATGCTTCTATTCTCCTTGTATCCCATCTACCTTTTACTCTCAGTGTAGCTACAACTAGAAAGTGATCTGATATATCTGTGGCCCCTCTATAAACATGTACATCCTGAAGTCTACTCAACAGTCTTTTATCTACCAATACATAATCCAACAAACTACTGTCATTTCGCCCTACATCATATCGTGTATACTTATTTATCCTCTTTTTCTTAAATAATGTATTACCTATAACTAAACCCCTTTCTATACAAAGTTCAATCAAAGGGCTCCCATTATCATTTACACCTGGCACCCCAAACTTACCTACCACACCCTCTCTAAAAGTTTCTCCTACTTTAGCATTCAAGTCCCCTACCACAATTACTCTCTCACTTGGTTTAAAGGCTCCTATACATTCACTTAACATCTCCCAAAATCTCTCTCTCTCCTCTGCATTCCTCTCTTCTCCAGGTGCATACACGCTTATTATGACCCACTTCTCGCATCCAACCTTTACTTTAATCCACATAATTCTTGAATTTACACATTCATATTCTCTTTTCTCCTTCCATAACTGATCATTTAACATTACTGCTACCCCTTCCTTTGCTCTAACTCTCTCAGATACTCCAGATTTAATCCCATTTATTTCCCCCACTGAAACTCTCCTACCCCCTTCAGCTTTGTTTCGCTTAGGGCCAGGACATCCAACTTCTTTTCATTCATAACATCAGCAATCATCTGTTTCTTGTCATCCGCACTACATCCACGCACATTTAAGCAACCCAGTTTTATAAAGTTTTTCTTCTTCTCTTTTTTAGTAATTGTATACAGGAGAAGGGGTTACTAGCCCATTGCTCCCGGCATTTTAGTCGCCTCATACGACACGCATGGCTTACGGAGGAAAGATTCTTTTCCACTTCCCCATGGACAATAGAAGAAATAAAAAAGAACAAGAGCTATTTAGAAAAAGGAGAAAAAACCTAGATGTATGTATATATATATATGCATGTGCGTGTCTGTGAAGTGTGACCAAAGTGTAAGTAGGAGTAGCAAGATATCCCTGTTATCTTAGCGTGTTTATGAGACAGAAAAAGAAAACCAGCAATCCTACCATCATGCAAAACAGTTACAGGTTTTTGTTTCACAGTCATCTGGCAGGACGGTAGTACTTCCCTGGGTGGTTGCTGTCTACCAACCTACTACCTTCATGTACCTCATGTCTTCATTATATTTCAACTCCTCCATAAATTTTATAGCTAAAATCATGCTTTGCAGAACTGTGGGCTTTTCCAAGTATGACACAATGTGTCTTAACTAATCTCTGTTACACAAATGTATCTGCCTGGTATTCTAAATACAGTACTGACTTAATAAAAAAAAATACATCAGCTACTGCCCACCAAGGAAGGTGACCCAGTGGAAACACATTCAGCATCACTCATTCAATAGCTATCTTCACAAATAACCCGCACATAGGAGACAAACTTATGACAATGTTATGGTCAGACTTGGACGATTAACTAGTTATACACAAGCATGAGGGGAAGGGAGCCAGAAAATATATGGCAGGGTGATGCCAGTAGTAGTATAACAGGAGGAGGGAATAGTATTATAAAAGTACTAGTGGTGGTGGTAGTAGTAGTAGAAAAAGTAGTGCAACAGTGATAGAGGTGGCAATGAGAAGATGGTAGTGGTAGTGAAAAAAAGGGTCAGAGGGCAGAGATTTAACAGAGAGATAAGGGATGGAACCCATCTAGGTAGAAGACAGGAAAAGCAATGAAAATATAGGAAAGGAGAAGAGGTAATGAGAGATCCGTGTAATTATTTAATGGTCTAAGTTGGACTGAAACGTCGTCATAAGTTTCAGTCTCCTTGTGTGGGATATTTGCGTACTGTTCCAGTCACAGTATTGTGTTTTTTCTTCAATAGCTATCTTTCCAGAAGTGCAAACACATCACGGTTTAAATAATACATTAGCTGCGCATGTTTAATGTTTTCCAAGCCCCAATTTTCACCAATACTGTGCATTTCTGTAAACACTGCTAGTTTTGCTGGGACTGTATACAGTCAGATCATAAAATTTGCAGGGGGTTCCTAATTTTTAATCTGATTATACGTACAATTTTTTACTGATGAACAACCCACAAATTAATGTTATTTGCAATTTTTCTTTTACTGTGTCCATTTTTTGGGTACTTGCCACACAATCTCTAAGTTGAAAACTAATACAGGATTTCATTCAAAATGTACTCAATGACTTTTCTACATTTAAATCTTTCTTCCTTCTTGTCATTCTTTCTTATGAATGTCAATAGTACTTGAAAGATAGGCAATTAGCCAACAAAGGCATATGTTCACAACCATGTCTACATGTCTTTGATTTACATCAAAGTTAACCATACTAGAGCAATATTTTAACCCCTTGACTGTAGCAACCCCAAATCCTGAGGTGTCTCCTGGTGTCGCAAAATTTAAAAAAAAAAAAAAAAAAAAAGTTCTTTTTTTCTTATGAAATGATAATCTTTTCCCGATTGTAATGACACCAAAAAAACGAAATTTGATGGAAAACTGACGGAATTATGCTCTCACGAAGTTCGCGACCGCAGCGATATTTACGAATCGGTGATTTCGCCCACTTTGAGCCCTATTTTCGGCTAATTCCATTGTTCCAGTCAACAAAACTCATGGCTATTTCTTTAGAACTCCATTTTTTCTATCGATTGAGTACAAGAAACTGCCCATTAACCGATTTCAACTACCCAATAACGTGGTCAGAAATTTGCAATTTGGCCAATTTCATGAAAATTAAAAAATATGAAAATTTCAAAATAGGGTCCAGAATGAACAATGCAGACATTCCTTGCTCTAAAATAACATTTTCTTTGTTCATCAGTCATGTCTCCAGTCCCTCTGATATTACCCTTGCTTTATATTTTGAATTTTTATTCAAACAAAAAATAGAAGATTTACTGTTATGCAGAGTACTGCAATATTGTAATAATTGTATAAATAATGTCATCCCATTCATGACTGCATATCAGAATGGCTACTTGGACACTTATTGGAAAATAACATCATTTGTTTACTTTTGAACATTGGCAAAAATCAAACATTTCCTCTACTTTGAGCTCCATTTCAAGGTTCTTTTCTTAGCAAAACCAATCAAAATCACCTCTATTTCTGTAATATGTTTTCCATTCTATCAAATAAGACCAAGAAAACGAGAATACAACCATAAATACTATACGAAAATTGACCACAAAGTCGGCATTTTAATTAAAAAAAACGGTCGGAGTTTTTTTTTTTCTCATTATGCACCGCGTGCTGCAGGATTTTTTTTATATGGTGCACACTGACCACACAGACCCATTCTCTCACATGTGGGCCTACCAGCTTTCTCCTGCTTGATTTGAAGCTGCTAGAATTTACGAGTATAAATACGTCACAAAACGGTGGCTCGTAAGATGTATATATACGACCAAAACAGTCAAAGGGTTAAGAGGCAATACAAAATAAGCCCTAATATAAAATTAATTTCATATGGACTCTAGATTCACAAGGTCTCAAGGAACATTACCTCCCATAAGAGCTTGACAGGGTATGCCAGTTCTTGGTAAAGATAGCATCTTATTCATAGTGAATAACTGAATGTGGCAGTGTATAATACAACAAAAATAATGAAGCATTAAGTTATTACTAGGGCTGTGGAATTGGAGTCAGAAGCAACTCTTGGGTTACTGGAGTCGGAGTTAGTTGGTAAAATGTACCGACTCCGACTCCTAACAAATTTAAATTGTATAGAATATAAATAATATAAGGTAAAATATACTATTTCACAAAAAATAATTTGATTAACTAATTTTTTTTCAGGATATGTATTATTTTTAGTTCATTTAATGTAATGTTTCATGTTATATTCACATAAATTTTATATTCAAACAATATTGAGTTTATTTCTTTTAAAATGGTCATTTGTTAAATTGTTTTAGGTGTTAATTGCTTTTTATATTTTTTTGCAGTTTTAACTTTGAATTCTTTTTAGCACAGTAGACCATCATTTAACATGGTACTCACATTCCTGAAAATGCCGTGTTACACAAAACCGTGTTAGATAAACTGAAGAACTTATGGAAAAAAAAGGGTTACATTCCTGGGAGCCCCCAAAAAGCCAAACAACTTTTTTTTAGACCTCCAGATCTTACAAAACTAAAAGGAATATGTAATTGTAGCTCATTGTCGTGATGCATTATGTTGTGTTTACTGCTTAAGACAATAAATGCAATAGAAATAATAGTATTTCTTACCTTAAATTGTGGGTGCTGGTGTTTGTCAATGATTGTAAAGAGAGTGGGGAGTTATGCTGTGGCCCTACAGGGCTGAGGTGGATGGTAGAGGTTCTGGTACTGAAGTCGATGGTTGTACTGGAGTGTGCATAAATTCTGTAATGGATTTCTGTTCTGTTTTACCCTGCAGTACATTATACAACTGACAGTAAGGCATCAGCTGCTCTCTTCAGTGAAAAAGTCTGACTTTAAGTCATTCAGTAAGTCAGTCAAGTCAGTAAATCAGATTTAACAAATGGCAATGAAAATAAGAAAATATGTATGTAAATAAACACAGCGAGCTTCCCTAGTACAGTGGACCCTCGACCAACGTTGGCATCGTCTAACGTTAAATCCGACTAGCGATACATTTTAACGCAAAAATTTTGCCTCGACTAGCGCTAAAAAACCCGACCAATGCTATTCGTTCCGTTCGAGACGCGTCCACTTTGGCCTGAGCGCGCCTCACTTGTCCCGTGGGTGCCAGTGTTTACAAGCCAGCTAGCCACCATGGTCCCATCCAAACATACAATCGGAACATTTCATATTATCACAGCATTTGTAGTGATTGCACCTGCAAAATAAGTCACCATGGGCCCCAAGAAAGCTTCTAGTGCCAACCCTGACACAGCTACTGCAAGCCGTGTTGGCAACCTGTACACTGACAATGTTGTGAAACACTTTAGGAAAGTCATAAAGGAACGAGAGGTACAGGCCTCTATGGGCAGATATATTGTGCGACAGAGGTCAAGTGACTCTCAAGCTGCTCCTAGTGGCATTAAAAGAAGAAGGGAAGTAACCCCAGAAAAGGACTTGACACCTCAAGTCCTAATGGAAGGGGATTCCCCCTTCTAAACACTAAGACCATCAACACTTTCCCCTCCTCCCATCCCATCAATCATCACCAGATCTTCAATAAAGGTAAGTGTCATGTAACTGTGCATGTCTTCTTCAGTTTGTAAGTATTAAAATTAATATTTCATGTGGTAAAAATTTTTTTTTTCATACTTTGGGGTGTCCTGCACGGATTAATTTGATTTCCATTATTTCTTATGGGGAAAATTAACTTGACTAACGATAATTCTGACTAATGATGAGCTCTCAGGAATGGATTAATAGCGTTAGTCGAGGGTCCACTGTATTGTCATCCTACACGCGTATGAACCAAACTGAAGGCTGGGAGGGTGGTGGTGTGGGTGGCTGTGGGTGGTGGGGGATGATGGTAGGTCTCCCTCAGCCATCGACATACACCCACACCACCCTCCCAGCCTTCACTTCAGTTCATATGCGTGTAGGACAAAATACTCAGGAAGCTTGCTGTGTTTATATAAATATTTTCTTATTTTCATTGCCATTTGTTAAATCTGCCAAGCAATCATGGCACCTAGTAAGCATACAAGTGTTCCCACAAGTGACAACAAAAGGTTTAAGCATTCAAGTCTAGGAATTACCAAGAAACTCGAGATATTAGACAAGTTTAAGAGTGGCCTTAATGAAGCATCAGTTCTTACAATTAAAAAGAACGTACAATTAAAAAGAACTAGCTGACTTGACTGGCTGACTGACTTACTGACTGACCAACTTACTGACTGACTTGACTCAGTGGTAGTATAACCCACAGACCATCCCACCCAGAGGGCAACCGTGCACTCAAAATTTTTTCCTCTCCCACAACCATGTTAAACTAATTTGACGAAGTGTTAAACAAAAATATGCCGCAATTCTTCAATTGTGCCATAACCAAAACATGCAAGACAAAACCGTGTTAAACGACGGTCTACTGTAATATCAAAGGATGTACAGTGGAACCTCGGTTTTCGTACGCCCCAGTTTTCGTTGGATTCGGTTTTCAACGCCTTTTTCCGTTGAAATTTTGTCCCAGTTTTCGTACATTACCTCGGTTTTCATAGAGCTGACAATAGTCTGTACCAAATGCGTCTGCCTGCCCACCCACATCACTCGGCTACTCAAGCGTCGAGTGACCGAGTCTGCCTTTGTTTATTGTTGAGTGAGCATCACCCCGCGCATTCAGCTGAAATATTTTGTAATAAGCCACTGTTTTTTGTGCTTGTTTATTGAATGTGACTGCTAAGTAAGCCACCATGGGGCTAAAGAAAGTTCCGAGTGCCAGTCCTTTGATAAAACAGGCGAGAAACACGATAGAATTCAAAAAAGAAGTCATAGATAAGTACGAAAGTGGCGTATGGGTGGCTAATCTTGCCAGGATGTACAGGAAATCTGCATCATTGATCAGTTCCATCCTGGCGAAGAAAAAAGAAATCGAGGAAGCTGATGTTGCTAAAGGAGTAAATGTGTTAACAAAACAGAGATCGCAAACAATAAAAGAAATTGAGAAGTTGGAAATAAATGGAATAAAATGGAAATATAAACACTCGGTAGATCATCAGATGCAGCATTCTCCACCTGACCCAGCATTCTGAACCTGACTATAAATACTTGCATACCTTCCACCTAGGTAGATCTGTTTGTGACTTGAAAAAGTCCACTGTGTGGGCGAAACGTTGTCAATAAAGGATCACATTATACTGCATATGTGTTTATATTTCCATGTTGAGAAGTTGTTGGTGTGGATCAACAAAAAACAGTTAGCGAGAGATAGTGTTTTGGAGTTGATAATTTGCAAAAAAGCAAGGCAATTGCATGCGGATCTTGTAAAGAAAATATGCCAACAAGAGTCTTCAATAACAGTAAAAGTGATGTTAAATGTTCATTTATCCATTTCATTAGTCATTTATATTTATTTCTCATTGTTTTCTGTAGGTAAAACTAGTGTTATTCTCTATAAAATGTATTTTTTGTTAGTATTTTTGGGTGTCTGGAATGGATTAATTGGATTTACATTACAGTGGACCCTTGGTTTTCACGAGTATCAGTTTTCATGAATCTTGGTTATCAGCAACATTTTTCATCAAAATATAGCCTTGATTTTCGTGATTTCACTTGGATTTCAGTGGTCATACAAAATGTGTCCCAGTGGCCCCGTGCACATAGCCTCCCATAGACACATTCTGAAGCAGTGTGGCATTGTTTCTCAGCGAGTGAACATTACCCTGCAAGGCAATACGAAACATTTCATAATAATACATTGTTCTTTGCACTTGTTTATTGTGTGTGGCTGCTAAATAAGCCACCATGGGCCCAAAGAAAGCTGCTAGTGCCAGCTCTTTGGTAAAGAGGGCGAGAAACACGATAGAATTCAAGAAAGAACACACAAGCCAGGGTACTTCCCCACACACACACACACACCAGCCAGGGTACTTCCCCACACACACCAGCCAGGGTACTTCCCCACACACACCAGCCAGGGTACTTCCCCACACACACACCAGCCAGGGTACTTCCCCACACACACACCAGCCAGGGTACTTCCCCACACACACACACCAGCCAGGGTACTTCCCCACACACACACACCAGCCAGGGTACTTCCCCACACACACCTGACAACCCTATGCCTGTTGTAGAATCTATTGTAGCTTTGGGGAAGTCCATAGGGTTGGATGTGAGTGACCAGGATGTGGAAGAGTTGGTGGACGGCCACAGTGAAGAGCGAACCACTGAAGAGCTGCAAGACTTTCATCTGGAAAAGCAACAGACCACAGCTGAGGAAATTGCTTCAGAGGAGGAGGAAGAGAGAGGGAAGAAGGTGCCTTCTTCAGTGATTAAGGACATTTGTGCAAAGTGGAATGAGTTGCAAAGTTTTGTGGAGAAATGTCACCCTAACAAAGCTGTTGCAGGCCGTGTCTGCAACATGTTCAGTGACAATGCCTTGTCCCATTTTAGGCAAATCTTAGAGACGCCAGAAACAGAGCTACCTGGAAAAAATTTTTGTGCGACAGGGGTCCAGCGACTCTCAAGCTGGTCCTAGTGCCAGTAAAAAACAAAGAAGGGAAGTAACGCCCGATAAGGACCTGGTACCTTAAGTCTTTATGGAAGGGGATTTCCCTTCCAAACAATAATCAGTCCTCCCACTCCCCTCCTCCCCACCTTCCATACACCAACAAGAGTCTTCAATAAAGGTAAGTGTGATGTTATTGTTTTATATTGATTTGTTATTCTTTTCTGTATGTAAATCTATATTTAATCTCTAAAAATTTTTTTTTAATACTTTTGGGTGTCTAGAAGAGATTAATTGGATTTACATTATTACTTATGGGGAAAATGTTTTTTTTCGGCAGACTCTCTGGAACGGATTAATCACGAAAACCAAGGGTCCACTGCATTTCTTATAGGAAATATTGCTTGAGTTTTCATACAATTCGGTTTTCGTCAGACTTTCTGGGACGAATTAATCACGAAAACCGAGGTTCCACTGTACTTCATATTTTTGACCTAGTAGAGAAAGATATTTCTGATTCAGATTTTCTTCTATTGTTTCTTTCTTTTACATCCTATTACCTTACACTTGATAGTCTTTTTATAAAAAATATAACCTGTTTACAGTTTTCAAGTTTTGTCCTTTGTTTAACTATAAGGTTACTGAATGTTTGTAATTTCTTTAATAAAGTAAAATAGCCAGAATAGCATAGCTATAGCTTTTAGACCCAAGCTTTAACAGGTCACTGAGCTTAGGGTTCTAAAAAATAGCCTGATTCATGTTGGCTGTGATGAAATGCCTTGTATGTTGCATGCTTGCAATTGATATAGGAAATATATAATTAGTATACTTATAATTTATGGGGGCTGGTGACCCCTTCTCCTGTATAAATTACTAAATTTAGAAAGAGAAACTTTCATTTTTCTTTTTGGGCTGCCCTGTCTTGGTGGGATATGGCTGGTTTGTTGAAAGAAAGAATTTATAATTTATTCCCTATATCAATATATAATTAAAGGAGTCAGAGTTGCCATAAATAAAGGAGCCAGAGTTGAAGGTTTTATGTGCCAATTCCACAGCCCTGGTTATTACTATTTCAAGACTTGCAGTAAAGTGTTTTGATATAATTATTGGTAAGATTACTCTAAGTACAGCGAGTACAAAACTTGCACACCTTCTTCTCTATTTGATGAACCTGGAGCATATTTAAGAGCTGATGAATAAAAGCAAGTGAGCTCCTGCTGTCTGTTGGTGGACTGGCACCTACTTCCTCCCAGCCCATAAGTCTCCACCTCAAACCTGAAAGCTGCCTACAATCAAATGAATTAGAATTAGTACACTCATGTAACCATCCCTGTAACTCATCCTCCTAAGAAAACCTGTTATAGATTAATTTAAAACAAATGAAAAATCAATATCGTCGCTACATCCCAAAATTGGTTTTCTGATACAAGTCAAAAAACATCTTATCCACATTGACCCGACCACTGTTAATTTAATATAACATTCCGAGCCTCTGGCATGCTAGCAGACCTGAGTAGAAATGCAAACTGCTTTCAGGCTCTAGTTGCTTTTTTGCTGCTGACAGCCAAATATAAACATATTAATATAGTAAACAGCTTTGAAGTGCATGGTTTAACATAAAATATAAAGGTGCATTATTTGAAGTTTTTATAGTGACATGTGAGATTTATTTAAGGGAGAAAGGTATGTTGTTATATTGTGGCACTCACACTTAATGTACCCTCTTATGTAAGCTACTGTACTATCATAACTTTTATGCAGTATAGTGTCAAAATATTATAAAATAACACATTTTTTATTAGGTACAGTGTGCCTAAAAAGTGTTTCTTACTAGGAAGAGTGATTTTTAATGCAGTACCTCTTGGTGCAACACTGTTTTTCCAAGAAAAACTTCTCTAAAGTAATGAAGGTACTGTACTGTATATGCAAAAAAAAGGTCCATATTACATTTTTTTTTTTCATCAGCTATCAGCCACTAAGGCAGGGTGAACCCAAAGAAAGGAAACACATTGATTATCATTCACTCAATCACTGTTTTGCCAGAAGCAAGCTGACACCACAGTTCGGGTAACCCTCCGAACTGCAACTTCCTCACCCCTTCTTCAGAATGCAGGCACTCCCTTTCCACCTCCAGGATTCAAGTTTGGCTAACTGGTTGCCCTGAGTTCCTTCATAAATGTTACCTACAGTATTACTGTATACTATTATTTTCATGGGGGAAGAGCTAAAACTGTACAGGTCATACAGCACCAAGGGAATGATAGATAATCAGGATTGACAGGAAAGGAAGGGCAGCTTCAATTTCTTGAGTCAAGATAGTCTACATTATAGAATATGGAGTTATAGCAATATTTCAGCAACATATATATTCCCCAGTGCATGATAAGTGCTTGGTATACAGTAATGTATTTCAATATGACAACAGTCACAAATGCAGTTAGAAAAGTTTAATATAATATTACTCTATCCAAGGGCAAGTGCTAACCCTATCTAGGTTATATTGTGCTTAAGGAATGGAGGTACAGTAATCAGGTTTGATCCAAGGAAGGGAAGCTTAATTTCAGCTCCTTGAATCAAGAGCCCTTCACCAACTTCAAGGAAGCCCCCAGTGAAGAAAGTTAAATATAGTGTAACCCTGAGTTTCGGCCGCCCTGAGTATCGGCCACTTCAAGTTTCAACCGCTTTTTTCGGCTAAATTTTGTCCCGAGTTTCGGCCTGTGCCTTGTGTTTTGGCCAGCGTACCAGACCTGTCTGCCTGCCCGTGCCTGCCCGCACAGGCGTCATGAGCCAGTCTAGCTTTGTTTCTCCTTGAGTAACCATTACCCTGCGAGCTCATCCAAACATCTCACAATGAATTCATTGTGTTTAGTGCTTGTTTATTGATTGTGACTGTGAAATAAGCCACCATGGGCCCAAAGAAACTTCCTAGTTGCACCCCTTTGATAAAGAAAGTGAGAAACACCATGGAAGTGAAGGTGATATGAAGTACAAAAATACGAATGGCATACGTGAGGTGAGCTTGCCAGAATGTACAGCAAAAACAAATCAACAATCACTTCTATCCTGGCGAAGAGAAAAGAACTCAAGGAAGCTGATGTTGCAAAAGGTGTTGACATCTTAACCAAAAATAGATCTCAAACAGTCGAAGAGGTTGAGAAGTTGTTGGTGGTGTGGATCAACAATAAACAGATAGCGGGTGATAGTGTTTCGGAGTTGATCATTTGTGAAAAGGCAAGGCAGTTGCATGCCGATCTTGTAAAGAAAATGCCTGGAACCAGTGGTGATGTTAGTGAATTTAAGGCCAGCAGAGGCTGGTTTGACAGATTTAAGAAGCATAGTGGCATACACAGTGTGGTAAGGCATGGCGAGGCTGCCAGTTCTGACAAACGTGCTGCTGAAAACTTCATGAGTGAATTTAAGGGGTACGTAGAGACTGAAAAATTCAAACCTCAACAAATGTTCAATTGTGACAAAACAGGCCTCTTTTGGAAAAAAAAAAAGGCCAAAGAGGACCTACATTACTCTGGAGGAAAAGGCACTGCCAGGACACAAGCCTATGAAAGACAGGCTAACTCTTTTGTCCTGCGCTAACGCTAGTGGGGATTTTAAAGTGAAGCCTTTACTCGTGTATCACTCAGAAAATCCCAGTGTGCTCAAAAAATGTCACCAAAAGTAAATTGTGCGTGTTGTGGAAAGCTATTCATAAGGTATGGGTCAGGAGGCAAATTTTCAAAGAGTGGGTATTTGAAGTGTTTGGCCCCAGTGTGAAAATATACCTCCTGGAAAATAATTTGCCACTCAAGTGCCTCCTGGTAATGGACAGTGCTCCTGCTCATCCTCCAAACTTGGTAGACCTCTTGTCTAGGGACTTCAGTTTTATAACAGTGAAGTTCTTGCCTCCTAACACCACTCCTCTCTTCTAGCCCATGGACCAGCAGGTCATTTCTAACTTTAAAAAACTCTACACAGAAGCAGTGTTTGAAAAGTGCTTTGAAGTGACCTCGGACATTGAATTGACCCTAAGAGAGTTCTGGACGAATCACTTCAGTATCTACAACTGCATAAGCCTTATAGATAAAGCTTGGGAGGGAATGACTTCCAGGACTTTGAACTCTGCTTGGAGACAATTGTGGCCACAATGTGTCCTCCAGAGGGATTTTGAAGGGTTTGAGGCTGACCCTGACCCTGCCGACCCTCTGCCTGTTGTGAGAGGTATTGTGGCATTGGGCAAGTCCATGAGGTTAGTGGTTAGGATGGGGAAGAGTTGGTGGACAACCACAGGGAAGAGCTAACCACTGAAGAGCTGCAAGAGCTTCAGTTCGAACAGCAACAAACTGCAGCTGAGGAACTTGCTTCAGAGGAGGAGGAAGAGGGAGTGAAGGAGGTGCCTTCTTCAGAGATTAAAGAGATTTGTGCAATGTGGACTAGGGTGCAAGCTTTTGTAGAGAAATACTACCCTGACCAAGCTGAAACAAGTCATATCTGCAACATGTTCAGTGACAAAACCTTGTCCCATTTTTGGGAAATCTTAGAGATGCCAGAAACAGAGCACTCTTGACAGTTATTTTGTGTGACAGGGGTCCAGTGACTCTCAAGCTGGTCCAAGTGGCATTAAAAGACAATGAAGGGAAGTAACCCCAGATAAGGACTTGTTACCTGAAGTCTTTATGGAAGGGGATTCCCCTTCCAGACAATAAGTCCTCCCTCTCTCCTCCTCCCTATCTTCCAGATGCCAGCAAGACTCTTCAATAAAGGTACGTAAATGTGATTTTAAATGTTTATTTAAATGTTTATGTATTGTATTACTCAATTAGTACTATGTATGTTTTAATTACTATACGTATGTTAAACTATAGTTATTCTTTAAAAAAATTATTTTTTGTGAATATTTTTGTGGGTCTGGAATGGATTAATTGTATTTATATTATTTCTTATGGGAAATACTGTATTGCTTCGACTTTAGGCCATTTCGAGTTTAGGCCTAGCTGCTGGAGCGGATTACGGCCGAAACTCGGGGTTCCACTGTACTGTAATGAGTAACAGGAATCATAAGAAAATATTATGGCTGTAATCCAAAGACTTCTAAAATTAAAAAATAATATTCAACAAAAACACCAAGTTTACTTACTTCAAAATTTTATGAGCCTGTGTATCGCACATTGAAGTCTCTTTGACTCTTACTTCTGGCTGACTTGATGTAGGTTTGTCATTCTTGACCACTTTACTGGGATTCACCTCTTCTACCCATAGGTGTTGAAAATTGACATGCTTTTCCGGATTCTTATCACAAACAGATTCTTCTACAAAGTCAGCAATCTTTGTGAATGAATTGGAGCTAAATAAATGTCCATCATAACTTGTTTCTTCTGATATTACTTCCAGGTTATTATGATTATTTTGAATACGAGTGTTTGCTCGAGGTCTCACAGGATCTTGTGGTTCATAGCTCGAGCCATTATTTGGTAAATATATTTGACTATTTATCATACTCAAAACAGGAATATCAATTAATGAAGAGCTTTTGTATGTTTGCATATGAAATGGATCACATGTTAAAGGTACTGATGAACTATCAGATACAGACTCAGTAACATTTTGTGCCAAAATACCTTTATTTGAACTGTTTGATGATTTCCACCCTAGGCTAGGTCCTGGGTCTCTGTTGGGTGGCACAAAAATTGTTGGATTTGTATGAGAACTCAAGACGTTAGATGTGATAACAGAATTGTTACCAATTTCATCATCTAAAGACTTGAGTAGATCATTTAGCAAGTGTCTGTCACTCAGAAGATTACAATTTTTCTGCAGTGCAGACTTAACATCGTCAAGGGACAGAGTATTCATAGTCAAGGGTTCTTCTTCATTCTCAGCAACAGGCACAGTAGAATAAGAGGCCATAGGAGCCAACTTCAAAGAGGCATTATTAACTTTCAGAATAGCTGAATCAGCAGTGCTGACTGGAAGTTTGTCAGTTTGCATATAGTTACCATTCCTCTTTTCAGCATCTGATCTTTCATTATCAAAATTTCCAAGAGATTCATTTGATCTAGGCAGAACAGTCAGGATGCTTGGTTGTAAACTAGCACCGGCTGTTACTGCAGGTGTATCTCCATGTGCAGGACAATGCAACTCGTTCTTCATTTTACTTTGATTATTTGAACCAAGGACAGTTTCTTCATTTTCTGTCTCAGAATCTGTGATGTCTGTAGTTATACTTAAATCTGCTAACTTGTTTCCTGATGGAAGAGACATTATTCCACTGCTCTGTGATAAATCCAAATGATGGCCGGTAACTGATGATATATCGTCGTCATCACGAGTTTCATCACCGTTCATTTTACAAATGCAATATTTTGTGACTTTCAACAGAATTCAACTATGTCAATTTACAATATTAAAAGAATGGCAGAATAAATCATATGACAATTCAGGAACAAATACAATTCACATCTTGTTAGATGTGATCACTGTTTCTTTTCTTCACCAGTGCCTGAAAATATTACAATAAAATTTAGAAGCAAGCAGATAGGTGGGAGGAGGGTATAATTACATTTTTGTAGTTACAATAGTTTTGACTGGTGTCATGTTCATTACTTATACACATTAACTAAACTCCTGTGGTTGCAGTATACACTACTACTACTTTTAATTACTCTCCAGGAACCTACATCCCTTATTTAAATAAATCAATAATCCTTTCTATATCTTCATTTTGTCTTAATTTGTAATTGTGGCTGCTTGTTCTCCCTACTGATGGTTAAAAAAATCTTTATCTGGCCTTTCATATCCTTTTTGAAAAAAGTATGCAGTTATGTCTCTTCAATTCTCCTATTTTCTGCAAGGAAACGTTTCAAAGTTATTGGTATTTCTTTGTTAATCGTATTCTAAAAAATTGTGATATATTTAGGGGCCATTAAATTTTTATATTTTATCTGTTTCCTTAGGTGCAGATACTGTACTACTGTATAATATAACCATGTCCAGTATTATACTAATTTTTTTTTTTCAATATTTCCTCATACATGTATTTGAAAGCTGCAGATATTAAAATTTGCCACCAATGTCTAGGATTCTCTAACAATTGAATTTATTTGATCTGGCAATAATTATTGATAATTACCCAAAAAACCTTTCTCACATGTTTTTACAAATCTATCAGTTAACAGTCTTCATGAGGTCTATTCTTACATTCATCTATTCCATTAAATGGCACATCTTTCTTTCAACATACCAGCCATATCCCACCGAGGTGGGGTGGCCCAAAAGAAAAAACTGAAGTTTCTCCTTTTAAATTTAGTAATATATATAGGAGAAGGGGTTACTAGCCCCTTGCTCCCAGCATTTTAGTCGTCTCTTACGACACACATGGCTTACAGAGGAAGAATTCTGTTCCACTTCCCCATGGAGATAAGAGGAAATAAACAGGAACAAGAATTAAAAAGAAAATAGAAGAAAACCCAGAGGGGTGTGTATATATATGCTTGTACACGTATGTGTAGTGTGACCTAAATGTAAGTAGAAGTAGCAAGACGTACCTATAATTTTGCATATTTATGAGACAGACAAAAGACACCAGAAATCCTGCCATCATGTAAAACAATTACAGGCTTTCGTTTTAAACTCACTTGGCAGGATGGTAGTGCCTCCCTGGGCGGTTGCTGTCTACCAACCTACTACCTACATGTCAACATTAAATTTCCCTCCCCTGATGCTGTATCATCTTAATGCAGTGGTGGGGGTTTGAGTGATTTGTGTCTAAGGGTAGGGACATTTTCTTCGGAAGGGGTACTACTCTCCTGAGTCCTTACCTGATTAAAAACCCAGTGTCTCTTTCAGCATAAATTGTGAGAATCTTACCCCTTTTGTTTTAATTTATGAAGAGGGCCAGTGACAGAAGGAATTGTTGATAGCAACTGACAAAAAATAATGAATAAGGATTGAAGAATGTGGTAAATATTTTTGACCAGTTTCATTTTCTTTGTGATTGCAATTTATGTACTCTGAAAGTGAATAGGTCATGACAGTGTTTTGTTAATTATAATTTAAATTTGGTCCCTTGGTATCCTTGGTCCCTTGTTCTTCCTCTTATACATCAATGATCTACCTACTTTTTCACAACACCTTAAGCCTATTCTCTTTGCTGACAATACAACATATGTCATGTCCCACCCTAATCTTGCCTCACTTAGCACTATTGTTAACGAAGAACTAGAAAAAATATCGACCTGGATGATGCTAATAAACTTACACTTAATACTGACAAGACCTTCTACATTCTGTTTGGCAACAGAACAGGTGCTGCCCAGCTGAACGTAACAATTGACAACACTCCTATTGCTAAGCATAATGAGGGCAAATTCCTGGGCCTGCACCTTGACAGCAACTTGAAATTCAACACCCATATCCAACAAATAACAAAAAAAGTACCCAAAACAGTTGGGATCCTCTCCAAAATATGTTACTATGTACCACAATCAACCCTGTTCACACTATACTGTTCACTCATCTAGCCCTACCTCAACTATACTATTTGTGCATGGGGATCAACAGCAGCAACTTACCTAAAGCCGATAATAACCCAACAGAAAGCCGCATTGAGAATTATCAGGCAATCCAATGCAAGACAGCACACACCCCCACTCTTCAAAGACCTAAACCTACTCACTGTACAGAACATTCACACCTACTACTGTGCAATCTACATTTACAGCACATAAACTCTAATTTTAACCCAGAACTAAACAATTTCTCGACAGTTGCAGCAGGACTCATAGACACAACACCAGACACAAAAATCTCTGAGACATTCCCGGCTAAATGTATACAAATGTATACAAAAATTTGATGTGCATAAAAGGGCCTAGAATCTGGAACTCCCTGCCTGAAAACTCTAGAACTGCAGACTCAACCACCATTTTCAAAATTACCGTTGAAAAACATCTCATTTCCATAATACATCCCATCATCAGCTAACCAAATGAAAACCACCCAATTCTCTTTTTTGTATCATGAACACATCCAAAACAATATAGACTTATTGTTATCTGTAATTCCCCCATAATTTCCACCTACACCCACCCAAAGGGCTGTAAACATCCAATTCCTAATATGCTATTGCCTATTAAATTATGTTAGTCTTATTAAATCTTAAGTTAATATTAAGTTGGTCTAAGATACTCCTCCAGTATGGCTTCAATAGAAACAGTGTATCATGCCAAGACAAATTGATTCCCATTACTAAATCTGCTATTTGTACTAATATTAAATGATTTGACTACTTAACTATTTTAAACTTACTTATGTATGTACCTAACTGATAATGTTCCTTATTAAGTACCTAATAATATGTTCAAATGTACTGCTCAAATATGACCTATCTCAAAATAGCATAAGAACTAGTATTAGTCTGCCCGAAGTGCCTAGGCATGATAGTAGCCATCTTTGTAATTTAAATCTTATAACATGTCAACCACACATTGCAAACTTTACAAGGAAATAAATATTTGTATTTGTGTTAAGATTAGATTTGTTTGGATTTTTAACCTAGAGGGTTAGCCACTCAGGATAACCCAGTAAAGGCATAGAGGACTGTGTGTCTTATTTCCATTGGGGTCTTTCAATCCTGTCCCCTAGGATGCGAGCCACATCAGTTGACTAACACCCAGGTATCTACTTACTGCTAGGTGAACAAGCACAGCAGGTGTAAGGAAACACACCCAACACTTCCACCCATGTGGGAATTGAACCATGGACACTCAATGTGTGAGGAGTGCTCTATAACCAAGTATTTCCAGTGCTTTGTAAATAAAAAAAAGCTCTGTCATCTATGTATCCTTCCATCTGCTCAATTTATCCAACACAAGACACAAAACTCTCTTTGACATCCCTTGTGTCCACCTCACTATGCAAAATGCAATGCATATAAAGGGCCCAAAGATCTAGAACTCAATGCCCAAACCAGCAAAAGGACCCCTATCTGCCAATCTATTTAGAGCTATAATTAAAAAATCACCTCATCTCCCAAAATGAAATTATATCAACACTATGCTATACCAAACAAAACCAACTCATCCAACTACTTATGTTTCTTCACCATCTCTTACAGTACTTTTTCCTAGCCTGAAATCATAGAACCAGTTAAACTACTCAAGAAATCCCAATTAAAATCATTAAACCAGTTTTAGGTATTAATACAAACCTAAAATTGTACTATTGTAAATTGTACTAATTGTAATTATATTTTTAATAGTCTATCAGCATTAGGATTAGTCTGCCCGAAATGCTCATGCATGCTAGTGACTTTCTTTGTGCTTAAAGATAAAAAGATAAAAGATAAAGATTTTATTTCTTTAGTGGCATTGACGGCACACACGTTCAAGGCACATAAAAGTACAATATTTAGATTTTAATAAGTTTAATTAGGCACAGGTACACACACACATACAATTATCATACATAGTGTAAATTACCTAGGATAACCCCCAAAAAAGTGAAGACAAAATGACTTATTTCCCATCGAGGTCCTTGTGATATCTTATTTACTAGAACACCCCAGTAAAATAATATAACTTAATCCCACTAAGGTTCAAACCACAAGCCAATGTGAAGTTAAAGGACTTGCGTGAAATACAACTACAGTGAATCTTGACAGTTATTTTTAACGAATATTAAGAGGATTATCATCATGACAGTTGAGCACAAAATTTTAATTCACTCCCAGACTCTCCCAACTCGCCACCATTTATCCACTATTCAGCCATATAAACTGCATTCTAGTTTTTAAAAACAAAATCAACAATTATTCAGGTACTAAGAGGTTGATATCCACAAGTAAAGAGTATATTACCACTCCAGAGGGATGGGGGGGAGGGGGAAGGTTGTATTTAAAGGCTATGACAATGTGAGCCGTGTTGGGCTTTGCCTCCCTTAGTTCAGGCTACACAGACTCTAACTTGGCCGTATAAAAAAATATGTTTATATATACATGGGGGATTATAGAAAAACAAGAGCTTATGATTTTGTTAATTAAAGGTAAAAACCACGCCCACTTGGTTAATAACAATAAAAAAAAGTCTGGCTCAGTACGACCGTTAAGCCGGCTTTCCCTAGAAGCTGTACATTATTATATTCTAAAACTTGCATAATTACAAGCGCCAAATCCGTATGGGTCATACAGCAGGTATGAAATGAGAGGTAGTCATGTTTGATCCAGGGGATTGGAAGGGTAGCTCCAATTCCTTCGATCAGGAACCCTTCACCAGCATCAGGGCCAACGTATAACATCCGCAGGGCAGAAATAAAAGAAACTGTAAATTATTATAGAATGAAAATAAAATAATGCAAAACATCCCCGGTTTTTTTAACATGCATAGAAAACATGCTTATAAGTTCCGTTTATGAATGTTAAAGTTTGTGTGGCGCCCCATAAACGGTTACTTCTTTGTCTACTGCAAAGAATGCAGTTATTTAATAGCATGTTTGTAGATAAATCTAGGTGCTGTGACCCCTGCGGGTTTAGAGCTGCTTTATGAATATAATTCGTAGGCAAATATATGATGCTTATTTGCGTTAAGCTTATGGTGCATATTTATATAAGCTTAAAATTATAATCATAATTAAAATATTTATTTTTAATGTTTTCTTTTAGTACTAGTAACATTTTTAAGTCGAGTACTCTTATAATAATATCCACATAAATATAGGATTAGACAACCCAAATGTAAACAAACTGGCGGCGGACATTTTAAACTGTTCATTACTCATAAGGAATCACTAAACCAGTATGGGCTATTCAGCACCTAGGAAATGGAGATAACTAGCCTTGATCCATGGTAAGGTAGATTCCCTGGATCAGGAGCCCTTCAGTATCAAGGCACCCCCTTGAAGTAACTGCTAACACCATGCTTGACTCCGGTATAACTACGAAAAAGTCAGGACATTCAAATGGAGTAACTAAACCCATAAGAATTGTGCTGAATCTGGGAAACAGGCAGTTTGATCCAAGGTACCTTAGGTCGCGAGCTCGTCACCATGGAATTATTATAATCAAGGGGGAAGCGCTAAACCCGGAGGATTATACAGCGCCTGGGGGGGGATGTTTAATAATTCGGGGAACAGGAGCAGATCAAATTCCCTAAATCAAGAGCCCCTCACCAACGTCACCATGGAAGCATTTTTTAGTTTTTCTTCAGCAAATAAAGGCAAATTAATTTTTAATTAAAATCAAAGCGCTAAACCCACAAGGGCCATACAGCAATACACATTTTATAAAGTTCCTTTTCATTCGTAAGCATAGTAAAATATCTGGAATCGCTACTCAAAATCAGGGTATCGAGCACATGGGAAAATAGCAAATACAGGCATAAGTAATACACAAAAATGCTACAAAAAAACATTTAATAAGAAAAATTATATACAAGAGATCTCCTACCCTTAACAAGGGTTTTTCAGGTACAAACTTAAATGTCACTTTAACCTTAGATATACTATACATTTACTCCAACGGAGTATTAATGATAAAATTCACCTTAAGATGACCTTAAATCTGAACACTTTAGGACACTACTTCTTCGTAGTCTTCTTAGCAACCTTCTTTGCTACGGGCTTCTTTGCTGTCTTCTTTGGAGTAGGCTTCTTAGTGGCCTTCTTAGCTGCTGGCTTCTTTGGTGTGGTGACTTTAGCGGCGGACTTCTTAGCGACCTTCTTAGCTGCAGGCTTCTTAGGGGTGGTGGCCTTCTTGGGTGCAGGCTTCTTGGCAACAGTTTTCTTAGCTGCGGGCTTCTTGGGAGTGGCACTGTCCTCAGGCTTATTGATTCTGAAGGAGCCAGAGGCACCAGCACCTTTGACTTGCTTGAGGGCGCCAGATGACACTCCACGCTTGAGGGCGTGCTTCAACTGGGTAGCAACAGCCTTCTCCTCGATTTTGTAGTTGGCAACAATGTACTTTAAAATAGCCTGGCGGGAAGATCCATTGCGCTCCTTCAGAGAGGCGATGGCGGCAGCAATCATAGCAGAGTACTTAGGGTGAGCAACAGCTTTCTTCGCCACTTTCTTGGAGGTTTTCTTAGCTGCAGCAGGGGTTGTAGTTGCTGCGGTGTCAGCCATGGTTCTAGAGTGCAGGAATAAGCTTTACAGGAGACGTGTATGAGGCCCTGCTTGTGCTGGAGAAGTGATGCTGCGCGGACTTTAAAATAAAATAAGTAACTAGTTTGCGGACGCAAAAGTAGCAGCCGGATCTCGCGCCCGTTTTCGGTGAGTTTCAGGAGTCCCGCAAAGACATCTGTGTTTGTTAAAATTACATTCTTAATACATTTGTCACCCTTATTGTCATTAAACCTTGTTCTAGACTTGCTCTTATGTAGGAGACTGATTTTTCTTTATGTTTATGTTGTAAAAACAGTCGTGCGATCATGTCTGCTAGAGTTATATGCCTATTTCTCACGGCAGTACCAGCGAAATACACCACATATCATTACTAAAAATTAAATAGCATACTTAATTAAGCCTTACAACATGCTTTTTCATTTTTAGATGAAAGACTAATAATTCTTCTTAAAGATGGTATAGTTTCTCAAAGTGTTAAGTAAAGTATTGTGTACCATTAAATTATAAAAGTTGACGGAACTAACACAAACTCCTGGCTCCTCGCCATGTCGAAATTACCTCGAGAATACAGTAATATTTTGCTATATTTCTCATCAAGACGAATATATAGATTTATTATGATTGAGCACAAGTATAGTATAAGAATATCTATTCTTATGACAAGTGGAAAAAAGTTATATATGCAGGAAAAGACTCTTTTTTTCAACAAATAAGTCTTGTCCCTATAGTTGCTTGGTCGGAGTTAGAGCTGCCTACCTCTGTTCTGAAAGCCACTGCAGGTGTAGAATTGTTCCTAAATAAAGCCTCTTATTTATAATATTAAAGAACAAACGAGTACTTGATATAGATAAATGTCTCGTATGAGTCCCCAAATGAACTTCAAACATATTATTATTTAGGAAGAGTACAACAGCAAAGCTTTACTCCTCCCAATTCTAAGCTCTGATGAGGGGTGGCACAGGTTGGGGATTGTTCATAACCATTTCTTCGCCTTTTCTTTACATAATCATAAGCTTCCTCCACTTATTTTTATTAGAAATTTTTAAATATATATATATATATATATATATATATATATATATATATATATATATATATATATATATATATATATATATATATATATATTACTGATAATTAGGAGCAATATATTGAAGAGGGCGCAATTGCAATTCCAGTTCCTGCTTAGAATAATAAAATTAAATTCTTTCGATCCATGCGCATTAAAAGCATATAATAGTGTTAAAAAAATCATAATGTAAGCTGTAGATCTCGAAAGTAACTCAGTAACTCAGTGAAAAATCACACTATTTGGCTTTCTTAGTAAGTTTATTCAGGTATACACAAATACAGTTACACAGATTATCATACATAGCAGCACATGTGTAAAGTACTTAGGATAACCCCAAAAAAAGTTAAGAGTGACTTATTTCCATTGGAACGGTTATCGCAGCCTCCTCTGTAATAACTGCACGAATCATGTGCTTCGTGCAATTAAGAACATAAGAAAGAAGGAACACTGTAGCAGGCCTACTTGCCCATGCGAAGCAGGTCCAAGTCGCCCACCGGCCCAAGCCTGGTAGGGCAGGTCACATCTTCAGGAAGGAGCATGGCATCAGACCCATCAGCACAAGCTAGTCAGAACCAACTCGCACCCGCGCACACCCACTTATGTATTTATCTAACCTATTTTTAAAAGTACACAACGTCTTAGCTTCTATGATGGTACTCGGGAGTTTGTTCCACTCATCCACAACTCTGTTACCAAACCAGTGCTTTCCTATATCCTTCCTGAATCTGAATTTTCCCAACTTGAAACTATTGCTGCATTCTGTTAAAGCACTTTGCTTAACAATGACAGTACTGGTTTGGTATCAGAATTGTGGATGAGTGGAACAAACTCCCAAGTAGCCTCATTAAAGCAAAAACGTTGTGTAGTTTTAGAAATAGGTTAGACAAATACACGAGTGGGTGTGAGTTAGACATGACTGGCTTGGGCCAGTGGGTCTGATGCAGTGCTCCTTATATATATATATATATATTTTTTTTTTTTTTTTCCAACAAGTCGGCCGTCTCCCACCGAGGCAGGGTGACCCCAAAAAAGAAAGAAAATACCCAAAAAGAAAATACTTTCATCATCATTCAACACTTTCACCACACTCGCACATTATCACTGTTTTTGCAGAGGGGGGCCCGAGACTGTTCAACTGCCTCCCAGCACACATAAGGGGGATTACCAACAGACCCCTGGCAGTCTTCAAGCTGGCACTGGACAAGCACCTAAAGTCAGTTCCTGATCAGCCGGGCTGTGGCTCGTACGTTGGTTTGCGTGCAGCCAGCAGCAACAGCCTGGTTGATCAGGCGCTGATCCACCAGGAGGCCTGGTCACAGACCGGGCCGCGGGGGCATTGACCCCCGAAACTCTCTCCAGGTAAACTCCAGGTGCTCAGAATACAACAGTCTAGAAGCATACACACATAAAGATACACAACATATCCCTCCAAACTGCCAATATCCCAAACCCCTCCTTTAAAGTGCAGGCATTGTACTTCCCATTTCCAGGACTCAAGTCCGACTATATGAAAATAACCGGTTTCCCTGAATCCCTTCACTAAATATTACCCTGCCACACTCCAACAGATTTGTCAGGTCCAAGTTTCCATTCGTCTCCATTCACTCCATCTAACACGCTCACGCACGCTTGCTGGGAAATCCAAGCCCTTACCCACAAAACCTCCTTACCCCCTCTCTCCAACTCTTTCGAGGAAGACCCCTACCCCGCCTTCCTTCCCTATAGATTTATATGCTTTCCATGTCATTTCTACTTTGATCCATTCCTTTTAAATGACCAAACCACCTCAACAACCCTCTTCTGCCCTCTGACTAATACTTTTATTAACTCCACACCTTCTCCTAATTTCCACACTCCCAATTTTTGCATTATATTTACACCACACATTTCCCTTAAACAGACATCTCCACTGCCTCCAACCGTCTTCCTCCTGCTGCTTTACACCCAAGCTTCACACCCATATAAGAGTGTTGGTACTACTATTTATTTCATACATTCCCTTCTTTGCCCCCATAGTACGTTTTTTGACTCCACATATCTCAACGCCCACTCCCTTTTTCCCCCTCATCAATTTATGTTTAAACCCTCCCCTTCAAAATCCACCCGCGACACTTTCCAATCCCGTATCTGAAAACTTTCATTTTCCATACTTCCTCCCCAATTTGATACCAAATTTTTCTTTATCAAAATCATTGACCCCCCTCTCCCTTACCTTTTCTATTTTCCTTTTTAACTTTCTCCCTTTACCACATTCCCAAACTCTCCACTAATTTTGCATTTTTTTTAGAATTCCATAAGCCAGTATCTCAGCAAAAAGTAACTGTGTCAACCCCATTTTGAATTTGTTTCCCCCAAAATTTTTACCCCACCCCCTCCCAAACACCCCTTTACTTCCTTTAAAACCCCACTATAAATATTTAAACAACCAGGTGACTTACACATCCCTTTTAAAGACCTACTTTTACGGGAAGTGTCCCCTCTCTTCTACACCCCCTAACCTGACCTCACTTCCCATAAAAACTTTTTACAGCTTTAATAACTTACCACCTTTTCCATAATTGCAACATCTGCCCCCATTGCTCCTTATCCCCTCTATCATATGCCCTTTTTAAATTCATATGCAATAAAAACTTCCCCTTTTTTATCTAAATACTGTTCACATATATCTTTTGTAAACACCTGATCACACTCCCCCACCCACTCTAAAAAACCCCCCTTTTTCCCTCCGCAATCCCAAATTTTGTCTTTCCTCTAATTCTTTCAATTTAACCCCCTAAATTTTCCTGGTTACTCATAAGCTTATTCCTCTATAATTTTTCAGTCCTTTTTTTCCCTTTCCCCTTTATATAAAGGGACTATACTGCTCTCTGCCAATCCCTAGGTACCTTTCCCCCCTTTTATACATTTATTTAAAAAAAGACCCAAACCCCTCCCAAAACTATATCCCCCCCGCTTTTAACATTTCTGTATGATCCCATCTTCCCGTGCTTACCCCCTTTCATTTTTTCAAAGCCTCACGTACCTCCCCCCCAAATTACATTCTGCTCCTTTACTCCTAAAAAATGGTTTTACCTCCCTACCTGCATGAAAAAAAATGCCCCCTGTTCTTTCCTTTAACTTTTTAAAAATTCCCCAAAAAAATTCTCGCCCCTTTCCCTACCTCCCTCCCCCCTCACTAACTCCCCCACCTGTTTTTAACTAAAAATCCATATTTTCCCTAGGCTTTTTTAAAACTTGTTTAACTCACCCCAAAATTTTTTTTTTTTTTCCTTTAAAAAATTTTTTTGGAAGTGCCTCCCCCACTTATCATCTGCTCTCCTTTTCCCACTCTTTCCACTTTTCTTTACCTTTCTTTTACTCTCCAAAATACTCTGCTCTTCTTATAACACTTCTGCTTTTTTAAAAACCCTTTCTCTTTAAGCTCCCTTTTTCTTTTTACACCCCCTTTCTTAAATCATTCCCCCAATCACTCCTTTTCCTCCTGCCCCCCCCCCCTTTAACCAAAAATTTTTCCCCCATTTTTAAATACTGCCCTTTTTTTAAATTTTTAAAAACCCCCTTTTTAAATTTCCAAAACCCTTTTTTAAACCCCCCCCCCCCCACTACTCATCTTTGCACTAGCCCCCTTTTCCCAATAGTCGCTTATACCCCCCGAATTTCCCCCTCCCTTAGTTTTTTTACACTTTCCCCTCCCCTTACTTGTTTTTGCCACCTTCCTTTTTTCCCCAAATATCCTCTTACTCTAACTGTAGTTAAACTAAATAATGACCCGTATATCAGTTGCCCCTCATAAACATGTAAAACCCTGGAGCCTCCCATAAACCCTTTTTATCCACCAATACATAATTAAACTATTTCATTAGTGCTACTTTATACCTTGTATATTTATTTACCTCTTTTCTTTAAAATATGTATTACTTTTTCCCAAATTTTTTCTAAAACTTTTAGAAATTTAAAAGGCTCCCCATTTACATTTCCCCCTGGCACCCCAAATTTACCTACTAC